CATTAATTTCAAGAGAGCTTGGAAAATGCAGGGGGAAGTGGAGACACACACAGAAAATAAAACAGGTTGTGTTAAAAAGAATTTTTAATTACTGGCTGCATAAGTACAGTTTTGAATATAAGATTCTTAATCTGCAGTCATCTCTGCAAATCTGCCCAAGAAAAGTAAAGCCCAAAACTCATGAACAGATTCCCTGAGAGAAAACCCAGGGATAAATATATTGCCTGTGTCTATCTTCCATTTTGCAGAAGAATAACAACTTGCATACCCACAGGAAAATGAATGGGAAAAAAACCCACAGTGAATTGGAGAATGATAGATAAGGCTAAATACAGGAAGAAGAGCTTGATGATTTTTTCTTAAAAATCCATATCAAACCATTATAAATATTTTCTAAGTTACTAAGTAATTTTATGCCCCTTCTAGTAAGCAGTTGACTTGTTTATGTAACAAAACACTGATATTTAATTTCCTACAAATAAATTACAAAATAAGGATATTTAATGTATATTTTATTGGATAAGAAATCTACTGCATTACATTTTAAATGAATGACTTAGAATGTATTTTTAGTTTGTGGCTACCACTGTAATTCTGGGGATTTACTCCTGAACTACAGTCAAGTTTATTATTGCAAGTGTTTTATTATTGATGGGCATGAGTCTGGTTTTTGTTTTTAATTGCAACTGACTTTATTGTTCTCAGTGATCTCAAATGTGATGGAATTTCTTTCACTAACCCTTCACCTTTCATAGTTAGAATTGAAAACAAATATAGATGTATAAAAGGCTATCAGTTTTTTTGCTGATAAAGCTGGATTGAAAATCAAGCTTTTGGAGCTGGGGTTGTGGCTCCATGATAGAGCGCTTGCCTGGTATGTGTAAGGTACCGGATTCCATCCTCAGCACCACATATAAATAAATAAAATAAAGGTCAATTGACAACTAAAAAATATATTTTAAAAAATCAAACATTCCTTTTTAAAATTAATTTATTCGTTTATTCTAATTAGGTATATATGAAAGCAGAATGCATTTTGATTCATTGCACACAAACGTAGCACAATTTTCATTTCTCTGATTGTACATGATGTAGTGTCACAACACATGTGCTATCATGAATGTACCTAGGGTAATGGTGTCCTTCTCATTCCATCATCTTTCAGGCCCCCATCCTCTCTCTCCTCCCCTGCCTTTGCCCCCCTCCCCATTATGGGTCAGCATCCACTTATCAGAGAGAACATTCTAGTCCACTTAAAAACTAGTGTAACATAACCATAACTTGTTTCCCCATCCTTCTCAACTTCTCCCCAATCTTCTCCATTTCACTCCTGGTTGTTGGATGGAGAACCCTGACCTGATGAAATTGCTATCTATCAATCACACGTCAACCTCTACCCTTCCTATATGCAGACTTGCTGGGAGAATGTCGGTCCAAAGAAGGGCTGAAATGCTCACACATGTATATGTCCCTTCTTGCAATCTCACCAGAGAAGTCATTCACTCATTCATCCATTCATTTGGCAAACACTTATTGGGAACTTACCATGAACCATGCAGGAGGCAGGTATCTAGGTACATGAGTCAACCTGTTAAAGGGCAAACCTTGTCCTTGTGATACTTACATTCCAGGGAAAGAGACTGACAACCAACAGAGGAACAGATTAGCAGTGATGAAGTAGTGCTAAGGATTAAGAGGAAAGATGGACCAGGGTCAGGGGATGAAGAAAGGAGGCAGTAGATAAAGAGACATTTGAAACCCTGAAGACATTTAGACTCTGCTTTGAGAGCAGAGGAAAACTGAAAGGAAGGGTTGAAGATAACTTTCAATACTGGGGAAAAGGGCTAAGTTTCTATTTGATCTTTTGGAGAGAATGTTAGAGAGCAGGAGGGACCAGATTCCCTTTAATCCCTGGTTTCCTTCTTCTATTAACACTTCAAACTTAACAAGGCGACCCATTATCAGCCTAAAGGGCAAACATGCTCCCTTCAGGGAGGAGATCAGCAGTTTATCAGCACAGTCTTGAGCTGGAAATGCTACTAGCAATGTCAGTCTCTCTTTCATTTATTTATTTATATATGACAGAGGAATGCATTACAATTCTTATTACACATATAGAGCACAATTTTTCATATCTCTGGTTGTAAACAAAGTATATTCACACCAATTCGTGTCTTCATGAATGTACTTTGGATGATAATGATCATCACATTTCATCATCATTAATAACTAGATGCCCCCTCCCTTCCCTCCAACCCCTCTGTCCTATCTAGTGTTTGTCTATTCCTCCCATGCTCCCTTTCCCTATCCCACTATGAATCAGCCTCCTTATATAAAAAAAAAACATTTGGCATTTTTTTTTGCGGGGGTGGGGGGGATTGGCTAACTTCACTTAGCATTATCTTCTCTAACTCCATCTATTTACCTGCAAATGCCATGACTTTATTCTCTTTTATTGCTGAGTAATATTCCATCGTATATATGCCACATTTTAAAAATCTGTTCATTTATTGAAGGGCATCTAGGTTGTTTCCATAGTTTAGCTATTGTGAGTCAGTATCTTTTATGTATCTCGCTAGAGCCCCTAGAGATTCTGATATGGGGTGAGAAATGTACTGATTAAATCAACTTCAACATTACTTTGAACTGTAGAACTTTACTCTGATTTATTTACACATTATGCTTAACTAGGTTGTGCAATATGGATCATTAGAGGCTTTGCAACGATTCCAGATGATATTCCAAGTAATACCAGCCAAAGGGAGGAAAAAAAAAAGCTGTTAATTACAGCAATATAAACTGTCCCTGATTTCTACATTTCCAAGAAGAATTGAAGTCCCCAAATTAAAATTCTTGCCTTTATAAATTAAGACATTTTCTTATCCTATTCATCTTCAGCCAGAATGTTCTCATTCAAGTTCAAGGTATTGTCAATGTTATTAGATCACTTTTCCAGCACCCATAAAATTAAAATGACCCAAGTCCAAATCTCTCCAGGATTCTTACTTGTTTCTGATTCTCAGAGGCAAAGAGACCCATAAGATATTCATTGCAGTATTCTCACACTCAGAAACCATAATACCAAATACACAAGAGTTATTTCAGCCAAATGATGCACAAGGACTCAAATATTTTGTACAGTCTAGGTCTCTATTTTGTTACCAGAAACATTAAAAGGAAGATCCCTGAGTGCACTCTTCTAGGATGCCAATCAGTCAGGGTTCCTTGTCGGAAGTCCACAGCCTGTGAACCTAGACTAAGTTGGTAGAATGAGAATTCAAAGACAACCACATATTGCATCTGGGTGGTATGTCCTTTATAATTGTTTTAATCTATAAGAGATCACTTCTCCCTTCATTGTTGTTTTTTATTAAAGAAACTAAATAATTTTCCCTTTTAAATTTTTCTGTATTCTGACTTTTACTGAAATGCTTCTCTATGGTGATGTTTAGCACGTTCTCTGAACCCTCTGTATTTGTAGGTTGGCAGTTAGACCCCGGGAACCTTAAAATCGGGTTCAATTTTTTGTTTTTGGGGGCACATATACAGTTATATTTTAAACATTTGATGTCTTTTTTTGCCTTTTATTTTTAAACCACTTGTTTCCTTTGAAGAAAGCACCTTTATTGCTTTTCTGTTCTCCTGGCTTTGGAATCCAATATTTATGTGTCTAAATTCTATATTTCAATTCTTAGAATTCTCAATATCAAGAGACTGGAAATCAAATTCAAATTTTCTAAAAAGATCCAGTTGTCAAGTAAATCACATTTTCCTTTATCTCTTTGAATTATATAATCCTTTTTAATGGATATTCTAACACAGCTCTTGCCTTGATCTGTCATTGTCTTGCACGTCTCCTGTCTAGTATACACCCTCTCTCCATACTTTCAAAAACCCAACCTCCACAAATGTCAACTAACTAGAAGAGCTAAGCTTCAAATCATAGTGTTAACTAGGGCTTCATACTCTGAGGTTATGTTCTGTGCTTAAGTCCTAGAAAACAATGGACAGGAGAAGAAATGATTATACTTACAGTGTAATAGGCAATCAAAAAGATTTAACAACACTTTAAAAGGAAATTTATTTGAGGTCAGAAGACATAAAAACAAGTTTCTCACCCATCGCTTTTTTTACTTTGAGAAAAGTAATTTGAGTGGGATTTGATTTCCACATCTATAAAGTAATAACAGAAATCTGGTCCATCTCTGAAGCCTCTTCCCAGTTTAATAATTCTGAGATTCTAATTACCTTCCAATTTATGATACATTCTGGGCCTCAACCCTATTCTTTAGTTAAAGGTAGAACTTCTCACATCAAAAGAGCTTCATTTTATTTAATGAGGGAATCCAGCCTCAGAAAGAAACATAAATTACTCATTCTCCTACCCACATTTTATCTAAAATATTCTTTTTTGCCAATATGTCAATTCAGTCTCTGAAAAGTGTGATGGATTTTTGTCTGACCTCCCCCTTAGATACTGAGAGGGTGCAGAACATGAATCAGTTATTTCTTCAATTCCATAAAGTGTATCCTGATATCCTGTGTTCCCTCTGATCAGGGACTCCTCTGGGTACTGCACATAGCAGTGAATGAAACTAGAAAAATTTTTGGTTTCACACAATCAGATAGTGGTAAGGGTCTGCAGAGATGATAAGATTGGATGAAGAGAGAATGAATGGTCGAAGGCTACACTGTGTGTTGGGTGGGTAAAGATTCTTTCTAAGGAACTGACACTTAAACAGAAACTTAAGCCATACAAAGAATCTACCATATGTAGACCGAGGATGAGCGTACCAGACGGAGGAATAGTGGGGGCAAGCTCCTACACTGGGAACGTGGCTGGTGATGCAAGATCCGTGGCGTGAAGGCCTTGGAGACCAGGGATTTGGTGTTGACCTTAAGACAGAGGGAAACATGGTGGGATTTGCATTTTTTAAAGGCCGCTCTACCTTGGTCATTCTCTATTGGAGAGTCACTCACCACTTCTGTCTTCCTAACAGTTTTTGCCAGAATCCTGCGGGCTCCTGAATCCCACAATGTCTCCTTTGGCTCCTTTGTGACCCTGCGCTGTACAGCAACAGGCATCCCTGTCCCCACTATCAGCTGGATTGAAAATGGAAATGCTGTGAGTGTCATGTGTATGGGGACTTGTTTGGGGAAGACCCACTGGTGGTGAAGTTCAAGACAGACCATAGATTTGGGGATTTATTTTTATTTCTATCATTGGTCCCACCTGCATCTATTTTTGTCCTGGAAATCACTGTCTTCGAATTTGGATGCCAGGAGTTGCTTCTTTTCTTGTATCACTGGGAATAGCCAGAAATCAAATGCTTTCTTTGTGCCTTTGTGTCAAAAAGGAAGAGGTAACAAATCCTTTCCATGCACTTTCATAAAATCCTCCAGTGAAAGATAAGTTCCCTGCTGGAAGCTACTTTAGGGAAAAGCAATCTGGAATTAGAATTCACATCTGTCAGTTCAACATACCTTTCTTCATTTTTAATAGTGGTATTAAGAGCTAACACATATGAGGTAATGTTTTGATCTAGGCCCTGCTTTTAACACTTTATTTTTTCATTCTATAAATATATGTTGAGCATGGGAGCATTGAGCATTACTCCAGGTCCTGTAAAAACAGGAGCAAATGAAACAGGCAAAGTTCCCTGCCCTTAAAGAGAGCTGGCATCCTGATGAATAAAGACAGACAAACAATAAGACAAAGAAGAGACTGTATATTTTATGTAGATTCTATCAAATGCTGTGAAAAAAAATAATCAAGGTAGAAAAGAAGACAGAAAAATTGACCGTAGGGAGAGAGAGTCTGTTTTCAACAGGGTCAAGCTTCATTAAAACAAAGACATTTGAGCAAATCTCTGAGATGAAGGAGATTTTGTACATAGCTTGACAAGATAACCTGACAAAGGCTCTGAGATAAGGATATGCATGTTCTATCAGAGAAACAGCAAGGAAGTCAGCATGGCTAGAGGTGAATGAGCAAAGAGCAAAGCAGGAAGGGGTGTGTGCAGGCCTTGTGGATCCTACAGATTTGGGTAGGTCATGGAAATAACTTTGGCTTTTATTTGCATGGGATGGAATACCATTGTAGGTCTGTTTCTGTTTTCTTTCTGATTCTTGTTCATTGTATTCTGTTTTCTTGTGTGCCTCGTTATCTTTGATTACATGCAGTTCATTGTATTGAAAAAATATCAGAAACTAATTTGAGGTCTAGATGAAGGTAATTTCCCTTGGAGAGAATTTTTTCTTGTTTCTGCTAGGGAACAAGAGCTGCAACTAATCCTGGTTTGAAGCTCCTTGGACATCCCAGATAATTATAATGTATGCTTAATAATTATAATGTCATTAAGGTTTGAAGCTCCTTGGACATCCCAGATAATTATAATGTATGCTTAATAATTATAATGTCATTCTTTATGTGGGCTACTTCACTTGTAGTTCACACTGAAATGTCCCTGATAACTAGTTCTTTGAGTTCTCAATTTATTGTATCTTTAATGCTTTTATGGGTTCTGAAGTTAGATTTGGCTATCCAAAAAAAAAAGTTCAATTTTTCTGGCTTTGGAAAAGTATCTTAACCATGGAGAGTATCTAAGTTTTGTTATATCTGTTAAAATTTTTTTTTCAGAATTTTAATTTGTTTGTGTGAGGATTTGTATGAATAACCTAGCTTATCCAATATCTGAAAAAGGAACCTGTCATAAGTTATTATTGTCATTATATTGTATAAGTTCTATCATTTGTCTATTTACATTTGATTTTCATGCAATTTCTAGTTGCTGATATGCTTAATGCATTAGGTAAAGTGAAAATATGTTAATTCTTAATTTAATAATTGCTTTTAATTGAAAGATATTTTATAAGCAATAAAATGCCTTGCCAGTAATTATATGGCTTTTTGATGAACATGTAGTTTTCACTTTGAATTGAAAAATTTCCTTTACTTGAATCACTTTTATTCCTTGAAACATCGTTTTGTTTGTTTGTTTGTTTCATGGTGTTGTTTCAAATTGCTCCAAATTTTATTCTAGATTACTGCCTCCATTTTCAAAAATGGGAATGGTCTATTCTTTTAGTGCGCTATTATGATTATGCTGCTAATAATATTATGCCAGGCTTATAGAATTGTTGGTACATTTATGTATTTTCCTTTGGTACAGAGCTGGAGGTGAGGCAGATGAGATGCAAATTTCTCTCAAACTTAGATGTTTCCTCTACTGTATCTCTGACTAATGCTTTTCTCCTCTCCACGTTCTCTCTAGTTAGACTGCTATTAAATGGATTTGGTTCAAAACATCAATCTTTTAGTTCTTTTGGTTTGGCCTATTTTTGTGGAGAGATAAGGGTAGCCCTACATAGTCTGTATGCATTTCCTCAGGCTCTATTACCCCTGAGAGTTGTCCACCATAGAAAGCCCCAACAAGGAAATCTCATCCACAAGCTCTAGCTCATGAGCTGATGCCTCAGCCTGGTGCTCCATGCATATATAATAGCCCCCCAAAATTCTTCAGGTACCTTGCTGAATTCTCTAAGTCTACTTCTGCTTACAGCTTACCTATCTCACCTTTGAAATTTTCCAGGACTCTTGGAAAAGTGTGTGTTTGTGTGTGTATGTCTTTTTTTTTTTTTTAGTTGTCGATTGGCCTTTATTTTATTCATTTATTTATATGTAGTGCTGAGCATCAAACCCAGTGCTTAATACAAGGTAAGCAAGTGCTCTACCTCTGAGCCATAACCTCAGCCCCCAAAATGTGTCTCTTCCCCTCCCAAGAAACCTCTTCTTTTGTGTTAGATTTTAGTTACTTGATATTAATCTATCTATCAATCCATTCACATCATCTCTCTTAATCTTCCAAAAATTACTAAAAATGTCTGGTCCTTTGATTACGATACCTTCCATCTTTCTCTGAACTTATTTTTCTTGATTTTAGAGTTTATTTATCTGATAAGATTTCAGGTGGAAAAAGAATAAAGATATGAGCTAAAATGATTATTATTATAACTTAGGCATTGAATAAGCATGATTTTCATGTAATACAATCTTTATTATTTTCTCTGTCCCTTATTCAGCAAAGTGGGTTCTTTTGCTACCAGAGAAGCCTACCTCAAGCAGGCTTTGTGATTTTTCTGGACACTCTTATATGATTTTAAATCATTAACATCATCCTAATTTAGTAATTTGAGGTGTCTTGTCCTAAGTAATAACTGAGACATCCAAATGCATTCATAAGCAGGAAGACTTATCCCTTCCTCCCTTCTCAGGACTATTGTAGTCATGCTTCCACAGAGGAATTGTGGTTGGTTTCTTAGCTCCTGCTCAACTGTGATCCTCTCACTTCTTAGCTGCTCTGTGTCACTATGTCAGGGTTGGGTAGGAGGAAGAGAGGAGAAGTAATTGAAGCAGGAGAGTTATCATTTAACTGATGCCCTCGCAATTTCACCTTATACCTTCTGCACCTGCCAGGTATTTTAAATTGCATTTTTCCCTCATGGACATGTTCATAATTCTTCAGAGACTAGGGAACATTTAAGACAATACTAGGAATGCGTTTTCCTTAGGTCAGCCCTCTTCTGTTTAGCCTCCAATTTGTTAGTTGATAGGAGGTGTCTTTATTGGAGTTATTTATTTCCCCAAAAGGTCCTCTTGGGAAGATGGAAAAGGACTACAATTCAGATCTTCTATAAAAACCTTTGTATCTAAGAACTCTGGGAGCCTAAATCATGAAGAGAGCTTCCTTCTCTTTGCTTCTTCCACTGGAGTTGCCAGGCAGCTCAACCTGGCCCTTTAGATATTTGTCCGTTTTGTCTACACATTTCAGGTGTGTTAGGATCCACAAGACTCCAAACACACATTCATGTACACTCTTCTTTGATGATTCTTTAGAAACACTCACAGAACTCAGAAAAGCTATTATGGCTAAAGTCTAGGGCAGGAAAAGAAAAATGATTAAAATCCGTAAGAGGGAATCAGTTTTCCTCTCCCAATAAAGTTGCAACAACAGTACTTAATTCCCAACAATCATATGTGACAACATGTTAAAGTACTGCCATCCAGGGATGCTCAACCTAGCATAGGTATCCAGAGTTGTTACTGGAGGTCAATTACCTAGACAAAAAAATACTGACAGGACTGATCTTAGACCTCCAGAAATAAAATGGATGCAGTATGTTCTAGGGTTACAGGTGAACAGAAAGAAGTATTCATTTTAACTCACATGGTTAATGTAAACTATCTGGTATGACCCAAATTCTCAGGATGCAAAGATACTCCTATCAGATAGAATATTCCAAGGGGTAATAGGATGTCCCCAAGAGCTACAGGGAGGACTTTTCTTTGTAAGGTGCAGGGTTTGAGCACCTTAAGCCCATCAAACTAACCTTTTAATCCTTTACTACACAATAGGAGACTTAAGTCAACTCTTAAGCTTATCCTAGCTAGGACACCCTGTCATTCATTAAAGAGATATGGTACATGTCCAAACCAGACCTTTGGGTGGGGAAAGAATGACTCAGAATAACTTACCAACACAAACCTTGATAAGTCATCCAACTGGTGCTTGGTTATTTTCATCTTCCATCTCCTGTAGGATAGTCTTTTTTTTTGGTATCTTGGTTGTAGTGAACATAGGTTATCATATTGCACTATAGTAACAGTAGCATACTAGAGACAAAGGATGTCTCAAATTATGCTTTTTTGTTTTTTAACATTTGTTTTTTAGTTGTAGGTTGACACAATACCATTTTTAATTTTTTTTTAATGTGGTGCTGAGAATTGAACCTAGGGCCTCACACATGCTAGGTAAGCTCTCTACCTCTGAGCCACAATCCCAGCTCCCTCCAATTATTTTTAAAGCAAGTATTTCAACAAGAAAATGGGAGACTTCTTTTTTTTTTCTTATAGGTAGGCAAAATCTTTTGGTATAATTCACATCATATTAAATTTTATTTCTACCCAACCTAAGGCACTTTCCTTCATGGACTTGGATTATTGCATATCCTCTCAACTTTCTCTTCTCCAGGATTATATTAATTTGCTAGAGCTAACAATATCAGAATAGAATGGATGGGGTGACTTAAACAACAGAAATTAATTTTCTCATGGCTCTGAAAACT